CAGGGCATTCGTGGTGGGCTGGTGCAGGCCGTCAAGCACTATGCCAAGGCCAACAATCCAAAGACACCTGGCTACGATCCGACAAAACCAAACTCATGGATCGTGTATCAAGATTGTAAGTATTATATATAAAAGTACAATAATTGAGCTGTGAATTAAAAACGTTTAATGTATATAGGCAATAACCTTTACGGGTGGGCTATGAGTCAGCCCATGCCGTACGGTGGCTTCCGGTGGTATGAAGGATCAGATCCTCTGGCCGACCTTCAATTGCTTTCGGACACTGGTAATACGGGGCGTATATATGAAGTGGATGTATCGTATCCAGAAGAGCTGCATGACGAGCACAACGACTTGCCGTTATTGCCTGGCAACGATGTACCACCGGATTCCAAAGAGACCAAACTCATGGCCACTTTGAAACCCAAACAACGGTACGTCGTACACTATGTCAACTTGAAACAGGCGATTGCACACGGACTGCAAGTCGATAAAGTATATACATCGTACCTAGAGCTATTAGTTATGATATTAATATGCTTGTCACACAGGTGCACCGCGTTTTAGAGTTTCANATAACACAGGTGCACCGCGTTTTAGAGTTTCAACAAAGTGCTTGGTTGAAACCGTACATTGAGTTGAACTTTGAAATGCGGAAACAGGCGGCAAATGCTTTTGAAATAGCATTTTTCAAATTAATGAATAATGCCGTCTTTGGTAAGTGCACCCTCAATGCTAAAGCAGTTGTGGGTTATTCGATAAACATTTACATTTTATAGGGAAAACCATGGAGAACATGCGGAAACGCATCCGTATTGAGCTAATCTCCAGTCCCGAACATCTAAGCAAGCTCGTAAACCAACCAAACTTCAACGACTGTATCAAATACGGCGAAAGCTTGTGCGCCGTCATAATGGACACAAAGATTGTCAAGTTTATCAAACCAATATACGTCGGTTTAGCAGTGCTTGACATTAGCAAGTCGCTAATGTACAAGTACTTCTACGACGTATTAAAACCTCATTATGGTGACGCAATCAGCCTGGTTTACATGGATACTGGTGAGTACAACCGTACAGCAGAAATATTTTTACTATATTTATATATTTTTAATTTTTTTTTTCAGACTCCTTCATTTACCTGCTCAGAGTCAGAGACTTTTACCAGGATTTAGCCAACAGTCCTGATTTACTAGTGCACGTGGATGCATCTAGCCTGCCCAAGGATCACCCTTGTTACTCAACCTCGAGGAAGAAGACGCCTAGTCTGTTTTCAGACGAGACCGGCGGCCTCACCCTTTTTGAGATCGCTGCACTTTGTTCAAAGTGCTATGCATTTGACATGGAAGGCAGCGAACTCATCAAGTCTAAGGGGATCCGCGGACACGTCGTCCGGAATCATCTGTCTTTGGACGACTACAAACGGTGTTTGTTTAAAGACGATGGTGACGATGGTAACGATGCGTCAAAACGAGCGTTGGCCGGAGACAATGCCCGTTTAGTCATCGGAGCCGTACGTGATGGTGAGATTCCACCGACATTATCATTACCGTACACTCCGTACCGACAGAACGTGTCAATTCGTTCTTTCGAGCACGAGGTACGCACTTTACGTACAACCAAGTTGGCGCTTAACCGTTTCGACGATAAGCGCTACACGCTCGACAACAGAGTTGACACGCTGGCTTACGGTCATTATGCCATTCCATCGGAAGAAATTTAAGCAACATTAGTTTTTATAGTAATAATAAGATTGTAAAACTCTTTAAATATCCATATTGATAAATGTAAAATATATTGTATGATAAACCGTGTAATTGAATTTTATGATAAGGTTTTTGTAAATATAAGTGTTGTATATAAATATATAGTTGTAAATATAGTTTTAAGATTTTTTAATGTAATATTTTAATGAATTGAATTGTAAATAAATGTAAGTTAGAATTGATATTATAATAAATGCTTAATTAATTAAAGTAATTACCCTCTATTTATTTCGATAATACCAGATAGATTATTTTACAATAGGTATTAATAACCTATAGTAAATACTACACGTAATTTAGAAATATTTATTTATTTTACTATAATCATTAATATACATTTTATTTAGGGAAAATATAATTATTGTACGAATACAAATGAGAATATTGCAACATCATTTTTTTTCGACAATAATGTTACATATTATAATTCATCCATTGTTTTAAGCAGATTGCCTTGTATAAACTACACACTGTCGGGTTGTTCATGTGTCGGATACAACACATTTTTGTAACACAACTTAAATTGTACAGCGGTGGGCAGTCCAAATCCTCGACGTTGACTATACGTTGTCCCGGTATGTACTTTTCCACTACTCGCTTTTTCACAGTTCCCTTCACGTAAATGGTCTCGCACCGCAACAGTTTCATGATTCTCGGCAACTTATTGTATTCAACGTCACCGCAACGAGTATCCATTCCATGTAGGTATTTTTTCAACCAAAAGTTTGTTTTAGCATCGCCCTCGATACTTTTTGGATGTTTAAACATCCAATGAGCGAATGAAGTACAGTCTATGGCAATGACAGTCAGTTCCTTGACCAAAAACGATCGGTCGGCTGCCACAATACCTTGTATATCGACAATCATTGAGGTGAGATATTGGTTTTGGGTATCCATGAATTGTGCTCTGGACCAAATCCTAACCATTTAACGAAGCACTGGTCCCCTCTTGTTCGCAACACTCGTTCGACTAAATACATGTCCGGATAACTGGTCTTGTTCAGCTCTTCGGTGTAAAACAAACCACGTATTGGATTTCCCTGATAGTCTTCTAGATAGTATGTTNTTAGTCTTCTAGATAGCATGTTGGCGGTACTGTTTGCCTAACCTTAACTACGGTAAACAGTTCGGTGCTCCAATTTGGTAAGTAACCCTTATCAAACACTGATTTATGTACACTTATCCGCACCTTGTCTCCCACACNGATCCGCACTTTGTCACCCACACGAAATTTTACCGGTAAATTATCCGGTATTTGACGCAACTTGAACCGAACCAGGTTTGGGTTTTTCGCTGCTTGCACCGGTGTCATTCCGATTGTTCTATGTTTACGCACGTTATTGTAGTCATGCAACAGCGCAGACAACCGATTCACCCATTTGTACGAGCCACGTGCACTAAAGTCACGCCACATTGCGTTTTTCAGCGTGCGGTTAAAACGTTCCACTAGACACGCTTTCATCGTGGAATAAGTAGAATAATGATTGATTGCGTATTGTGACATCAGTTTTTGAAATTGTTTATTGTAAAATTCTTTACCATTGTCCGTTTGCAAAAGCTTAGGATGACGACCATGTNTGTTTGCAAAAGCTTAGGATGACGTCCATGTTTCAGTATTCCGTTCATAGCTGCGGTAACTTCGTTGGCCGTTTTATTTTTCAACGGGACGGCCCACGCGTATTTTGAAAATCCATCGACGCACGTTAAAATATAACGATGTCGTCGATCAGGGTATGCGCGCATTTCCACGAGGTCAGCGTGCCATATATCATCGAGACCCTTGATATTTATCCGGGCACGGGTATACGTCCTGCGAGCCTGCCGGTGTAGTTCGTTAGCAATGTTCTTATTCATAACGCCGCTGGTATCTGTTCAATGTAACCGGCTTCCTGCAGCTCTTCCAATATAGAAACGATTTCCGGTGAAACTCCAGTGTTGCCAGCCGACCGGGCTGATATCAATAAACNACCGACCGGGTTGATATCAATAAACGTAAACGTTCCACAAGCTCGTTGGAGTCGTCCCAGTACACGTAATCTTTTTTCTTGTTGTACAATCTCAATTGTAGACCCGCACCGATAATGGATGTGTCACTGATGTTGCTGCTGCTGCTTTCAAACAACGGTAAGGAATTGTTTGGGTTACCACCATAACCGTTATCAAACAATGGTTTAATGGTGTTTACATACTTTTGACCTCCTTTTTTCAATGTTCCGTCTTTATTTAAATGCACACCGGTTTTGCCGAGAATCGTTTTGTACGCATACAAATCCGATTCGGAGTAAACACCAGGATTTTTCGAAAACAGTAAATCCACAAGACCCATAGTGAGCGGGAATTTTTCATCTAAAACATTAATTGTTCCTCTGTCGAGAAAGATATTGTCGGCTTCACCTAATGTCATTGTTCCATCTGGTNTTTCACCTAATGTCATTGTTCCATCCGGTGATACCTTTGGTCCATACATTTTATCTCTATTAGGGTTCATTGACCATTGATACATGTACTGATGGAAAAACCCGTCATCGTGTTTCACAGTGTATCTATCATTGTTTAAACTCTTGATAGTTTGCTGTAATTGTTCTTGTTGTTGTTGTTTTTGCTGTTGTTGCTGTTGCTGTGACGCAATTTTATCTAATGGTTCAATGATTGGCGTCAACTGACGTTTTACGCGAGTCAAGGAATCCGCTTCGCCACGACGCAATTCTGTGTACTTTTTTCGAACATTTTCCCGGGCTTCAGTCAACAGTTTCAGCAATGTTTCCTTATCGGCACTCATATTGTAACAAATGTGTCAAACTTGTATCTGTATCGGCCGTCGTCTCGCGCAAAGTCCAAACAAATCACTGCGAATCCGTACCGATCCTTGTTCCAACACTCTTTGCAAAACTCTTTGAATTCTCCAAATTTCATATCGCAACACACGTATTCATCGTACGCGTGTCGTAGATTAACTTCATCCTGCCGGAACAACACCACCACATTTGTGTTGTCACGTAACATTTGTTTTTGTATGCGCGACAGTGTTTGGGAGAGAAAAAAAACATCAACTNTAGTGTTTGGGAGAGAAAAAAAATATCAACTTGCCTGTGTCGTCCTCGCGCAAAATAATCACACATTACATTTTGTTTTTCCATGACAACATCGTCGAATATAAAAACCGAATTGGGCAGGATGTTGTCCACCGACGGTACATCGTCGCCGTTTTCATAGGTAAACAACTGCACTCCTTGGACGCCGCGTAAAACATCCACGAGTAGTTGATACTTGCACTGATGCAACGATTTCGAGTAAACGTAAACATTTTCAAATCGAAGTCCGTTGATATCAGTAGAGTAAACATCAAGTTTGTTTTTCCACAATTTGACGGTCCGCAAATCAATGCACGTATTGTGTTTGGCAATAGTTTACCGTGTTTACTAGGTGCAATCTCACTACTTTTTTCAAAATTCANAAATCTCACTACTTTTCTCAAAATTCACGATAGGTAGCGTGAGAGTCTGTTTCTTGAAACGCATCGCACGTCATCGAACAATAACCGTCAATATGAAAATAATGGTTAATCAGAGACAACGTGGAAAACGAGGTGCAGGGATATTGAATACTGTAATCAACAAATTACCATTCGAAGCCCACATTCCAGGTGTGTGTAATTATTCAAAATAATTCCTCGCAAATAGTTTTATCATTATTTTAAATGTTTATCATTTAGGTTATCAATTTGCGGGTCCTGGAACACGGTTAGAAAAGAGATTAAAACGAGGTGATATTGGGGTGAACCCGCTTGATGCTGCTTGCCGCAATCACGATATAATTTATAGTANGCCGCAATCACGCTATCATTTATAGTAAATACAAGAATCTCGAAGACCGTCATAAAGCAGACAAGGTGTTGGAACATCAGGCTTGGGAACAAGTGTTGGCCAAAGACGCTAAATTGCCTGAACGAGTCGCAGCTTGGGGTGTGACCAACGCGATGAAATTGAAACGTAAACTCGGTATGGGTTTCAAACGAGTTGTGCATGCGGCCAAACTCGATAAAAATGCCCAACAAATGGATTTACTGAGTGTGGCAAAAAAATCGTTGAAGGCGGCACGACGTGTGGTGAGAAAGAAAAAAATTCCACTGCCCCGTACCATAAACGTTCCGAAAACTAAAGGCGGTGTACTACCGCTTATACATATATTTGCTGGACTGTCGGCGTTGGGAGCTTTAGCCGGCGGTGCTGCAAATGTGGTCAAGATGGCTACCGAACTCAGCCGTAAAGGCAATATAGCGATAAGCATGGGTAAAGGATTTTACCTTCAACCATACAAATCGGGGTCTGGTTTCAAATTGATGACGACGACGAATACGAAAAAAACAAAAAACTAATTTCGCAGCTACCCGATCGTGCCTTGTGCGATGTTGAAATTGCAAATTTCGGTAATCGAGCTTTCGACCATAAAGTGTTTCGTGGTGTGTTTTGTCGTGACACATTACCTAAGTCGGGGCCGAAAACGTCCGAAATGGCTGTAGTGAACTTGGATCTTTCCACTAACCCTGGCACGCATTGGGTAGCTTATAGTAAACACGGTAAACGTGTTACGTATTTTGACAGTTTTGGTAATTTACGACCACCGTTGGAACTGCAACGATACTTTAAAGGATGTACAATCGTGCACAACTATAGTAGATGTCAAAACTTCGACGAGGTAAATTGTGGTCACTTGTGTTTGGAATTTTTAATCGAACAACAACAACAACATGACAACAACGGTAACGTTAACCGGTGTGGGATCTGAATTGCAATGTACATTCAATCCACCCATCGATGTCGGTGACAAATGTAAAATTGGGCTATTGAGCTTGCATACGTGGAACACTATACCTAATATTGACGAGGATTGTAACAAATTCATTTTCGGCACTGTTGATAAACCAATTCTGGTGATAACACTACCGATGGGATCGTACGAATTTGAAGATTTACAGAAACGAATCACGGACAAGTACAACGGAGAAGAGTATAAGTACAGTGTGCAACAACAACAAATAGATTTTGATGATCCATTGTTGCCAACGGTTGGTTTACTCAAGGAAAACAGCAGAGAAATCGGTGACAAAAGGTTGGGTAATCGAAACGTTATTTCTTTTACAGCCGACCGCAACACTATGCAAAGCATAATCAAATGCGATCACCCCATAGATTTTACACACCCGCAATCAATCGGTCGTATACTAGGGTTCCGACCTCGTGTATTGGCACCGAAAATGGAACACACGTCAGATTTCCCCTTATCTATAACAAAGGTGAAATGCATACGATTCGACTGCAATATAATTGTTGGTTCGTACCACGGAGGACGTCAATCGCATACATTGCACGAATTCTTTCCAAACGTACCACCGGGCTACCGGATTATCGAGTGTCCCAGACAAGTAGTTTACTATCCGTTAAACACAAACGTATTGAACACGATTCGAATCGCATTGCTCGATCAGGACGGTCAACGTGTCAACCTAAGAGGTGAAAAATNTGGTCAACGTGTCAACCGAAGAGGTGAAAAATTAACAGTGCGTCTACACATCAAACAGGATAGATGAAAGTACGATCACGTTATGGGACCGTATAAAACAGTTTGATTCCTCACAAATTGGATTATTTTTGTGTATACTAGTCACAGTCGTGCAACTATTACTACTCCTTCAAACATCCGTCAACAGCTGTCAGCTGATAAACAGTGATAACAGCAACAACAACAACAGTTCAACCACAATTTATCGTTTGGAAGCACTGGCTCGAGAACTTTATTCAGTCGACGACCGTGTCTTTATACTGGAAAAACGTGTTGACACTCTTTAAATGCCTCTGAGTTTCAACAGGAGTGTAGTGCACCATCATTTGAGTGATGGCATATACTCTACGACGGAGCAACCGGATAATCGTGCGACGCTATCGCAGCAGCAACTAACAAAGAAAAATATTGAATTTTTAAAATCGTTGGGTTGTCGAGTCAATCATGGCCGAGTACTTGCACGTGTTGGAAAAATGTCAACAAGACGACAGTGTAAAACGCGAGTACTATCTGGAACATCAGAGTTACAACAACTCGTACGAACACAACGATGAAATCCGTATCGAGGTGCGCAACAAGGAGAAATTCACCGTGCCGTGCGAAAGTTATTTGCAAATCGAAGGAAAACTTGAAAAACCACCAGCTGGAACAGCTGGTGAAATGGTTATGGGGCAAAGTTTTCTCATGCACCTATTCGATGAAATCAGATTTGAGGTAAATGGTAAAGAAGTAGACAAGATAAAATACGTTGGGATGGCTACAACCATCAAGGGATATTGTTCATTCACACCCAACGACATTCGACGATTACAACCTGCCGGATGGAAATACGCGCAAATTTTGCACAACAACAACGATTTCGTCGATGGGACTGAATTTGTAGCGCAATGTCCATTATCTATGTGCATGGGATTTTTCGAACGGTATCGGCGCACACTGATAAACTGTACTCAGACTCTCGTGTTGAATAGATCGAGTACCGACAGCACTGTCGTATCATTGGTTCCACAGACAACAACAACAACAACAGACGATAAAGCGCAAGTTGCAACATTGATAAAACAAATCAACGTGAAAATATCAAAAATCAAATGGGTAGTAAAGTACTTTGAACCCAGCGTGAAAACTGAACTGGGTCTGATGCGTATTCTGGACAGCAAGAAATGGCTCCCGTTAGAATTTCAACACTGGGACGTTGCCGTTTACCCGTTGGTACCGCAGACAACTCATCACACGTGGTCGGTGCGCACCTATTCGAATGTGGAAAAACCTAGATATTTACTTATTGCCATGGGTAATGAGGACGAACACGTTCTCGGAGATTTCAATCACTGTTCATTGAGAAACGTCAAAGCGTATCTGAACGCTGACGAATACCCGTACGAGAACCAAAACGCCGATTTCGACAACAACAAGTACACAACGTTTTATAACTCGTACGCACAATTTCAGACAATGTATTACGGTCGTAAAGACCCCTATCCTTTACTGGACTATATAAATTACAAAAAACGTGGACCTATAGTCGTGATTGATTGTTCTAAACAAAACGACACCGTCAAGTCTTCAACGGTTGATCTACGCTTGGATTTCGAATGCTCCAAACAGTTTCCCGATAAAACATCATTGTATTGTGTAATTATTCACGACTGTCAAATGGAATACAACGCATTCACGGGAGAAGTACGAAAACTTTAATGTAAATACAAATTTATTTTTTATTATTGTACAATATACAATATAGAAACAAAAAATATGTATATATAACTACTATAATGTATATATAATTTTTTTT